GAGTGGTGTATGATGAGTGGTGTATGATGAGTGGTGTATGATGAGTGATGTATGATGAGTGGTGGTTGAACAGCTGTTGAATGTCCGTAACACGGAAGTTTTGCACACTAAACTTCCTTTGATCAATAAGACATTACCAGATCGAATAAATGATACAAACACAAAGGAGATCTAACTAGACGATTTCAGTGTTGGTTTTTGCGCTGCTATCAAAAGGTTTGTGTGCGTTGATGGCAAATCACACCTGGTGCGTGTGAGGTGAATACCACTGAGTAACCAGTACGTTCCGAAGAAGCAGGGTCGGAGCGAACCAATCGCCTCAGCGTCGTTCGAAACTGCCTTTCCAAGGTCCTGGAACTGACATATGAACAGAGAATCGATCAGAATGCTGTTGGAGCTGGACAGAGACCTTTTTTTGCAACCACAACTTTTTCTGTCGAAAAAGTGTAAGTGGGACGAGCGGAATGCCCTTTTCCCCGAGATGTCGATGTGCCATGCGGTGCCGCTGTGACCCCATGTTTCATCATCCGCAACCAAAGATCCAAAAGCTACGCCTTGAAATACAGTATTGAATTTTAACATCACCTGGTTGAGACCTCGGCTGCCCCCATCTCTATGTCAGATCTCTATTTGAGATCTGGGAGGCTCACCGGGTGATAGCCTTCCATGTTTAGCGTGCCTCGCACCGTGCCTCGAGGCACTCGACGCACCGCGCCTCGCTCCAGCTGCTTCGTCCGACTCGGAGCACCGACGCTCAGAGCTCACCCAGCTGAAAGCGCAGGACGTGGCGGGCGTTTTCGAGACCGGGACGAAAGAGAGAGACCCGGACGACCGGCGAGTGTGAGAAACACAGTCGGCGCAGTCGACACGTCTCTTTTTTTTTTGTCTTTCTGGTCACTGTAGGAACATCACGGTTTCTCCTTTTTTTGGCGGGTGGGTTGATGCAAATGGATATTGGTTGTGGGTGAAAAACAGGAGACCTTGGATACGTCGGGTTGAGATCTTGAACACCCACGAGATTCCAAGTAAGAATCCGCTGTTTCTCTTTGTTAAACTCTCCTTTACCCATTGGAATCACATGGGTGATACACAAAATACCTGGAATATCCTGGAATCATCTGGAATCTATGTCGACCGTAGACATATAGACCATCCACAGAACCGCTGAAACCACAGAAAGCCCTGGGCTAACCGGCCCAACCTGGCAGTCTCCACCTCCGCTGCTCCACCTGCGCCACCTGCTGTCATCGACGCAGGTCGAAGACTTGCGCCGATGTGCCGCGGAGTGGTCACAAGAGAATTCTTCCATGGAGGCCCCAGTGCCAACGCAGTGCCAACGCAGTCCACGCAGGGAAGGGTGATGGGTGCGGGTCATGTGAAGGGTGGATGAAACAGGGAAGGGTTATGAGATGTTACGAGTCAGTGTGAGTGCTTGAAAGTTTGCGTTTTCTGGTTGCAGCGCTTTGTACTCACACCTTCTAGCAGGGCTCTGGTGCGGGGAGCCTTGGGAACCTTGGGAAGTGTGCCGCAGCGCCTCCAGCAAATACTAAAGCATCCCCTACATGGCAGATGCCGTCTCACAAATGAAAAAAACCATCCACCGCAGATTCAGGTGGCACTGGCACTCCTAAACGGAGGGATGCTTCCCCAGGAGAGCCGACGATCTTCGAACAACCAGAAGATCTTTCGCACCCAATCAGCCCCAAGAGGCATGGAGGTTCGCAGGCGATCTTTCGCTAGCTTCACAGGTGACTGGACCATGTCGGTTGTGGGGTCGGTCGAAGATCCGCTGGGCCCGGAGCCACTGCGGAACCGCTCTACTCGGCTCCGCACGGCTCCGTTCCGCCAACTGTGCAGCCGTCCAGGCTCGGCTGGGACGGCTGCGTGAGAAGGCGGCAGAGGATCTGGAGCGCGCCGTGCGCCGGGAGCGATGGGATGCAGGGGACAGTCTATTCTGACTGGCCTTTCGGTGGGCTGTCGGTAGGTGAAGTCTGCCCGAAGAGCCCGATGTTGCAGATACCTACGGATCTAGAGCTACTTGAAGCAGAGTGCTGCTTTCAAATAGCTCCAAACCAGATAGAATAGTAATAGTTTACCAAGACCCCCTCCAATAGATTCCAGCCGTTTCTATCTATTTGGGGAAAACAGGGCCCTCATACGGAGGGGTCTGGGGTCTCAATTCCCTATGGTTTTGAGGGACCAAGGGCTGTTTTTGGAGCGTCTGGGTAAACCCTTTTTCGATTTGACCCAAGGCACACGGCTTTTCTCCCCCAATGGGCGGCGCCTTCAAATATGCAAACGGAGGTTGAAGAACCCTACAGACTATCCGAGAGGTACCCCTTATAGGTCACTTAACCTCTATTGGTACCCCCTCACTGCACATCACTGCAGGAAGAGCTGACAAGTGTGAGCAGTGGGTGTTGGGGGTCCGAAGTTGGTGCTTTCCGAACCCGCGAAGTTGGTGATCCTTTTGTGGCGAAACCAAAACGGACGTGGGACACCAGAGCCGAGTCGAGGTACCTTCCGAAGCTAAACTCTGGACCTGGCTGGATGAACCATTGCTGAAGTCACTTGGCCGGATGCAGGCTTTCTTCGACCTCTGGGTGGGGTCTCTCTCTCTCTCTCTCGTGAGGCTGGTGACGCTGTTGGTCAAGTCGACGTGCTTGCGAAGATCCTTCGCCTTGCATTTGCTGGCCACGTGCAAACGCGATCGCGGGGGCGTACTTGAAGTGAATAAGACTTGGCTTGCGATACAGATCGATTCAGATGTGCTGTGTCATGACGGCAATTTCCGGCATTTCTTTTGCATTTGGGCTCGAGACCAGCACGGCTTGGGCACTCCAGCAATGTCGAAGTGTGCTCCCCAGACTCGGGAGAGAGAACATCACCGCGAGGGGGAGAGCGAAGGTGCGAGTGGTGCCCAGGGCATCGAGGGGTTCAAAACGGACCAATTCGCATGTGAGAGTGATTGGCAGTTTTGATGATATTTTCAAAGATACAGTAATAATCAGTAGTACTACCAATTTTATTAAAATAATTCTACGATTTCTACTATGGCAAACTGGCATGCTGAAAACAGTCAACGATGCAAAAAATGCTCCTGTCAGGATCAATCACAAGTGCAAGTCATCTCTATTTTGAGCTAGTAGGTTAGAGGCCATCGCTAGTAGGTTGGAGGTCATCGCTAGTCGGTTGGAGGCCATCGCTAGTAGGTTGGAGGCCATCGTCAGTAGGTTGGAGGCCGTCGCTAGAAGGTTGGAGGCCATCGCTAGTAAGGTTGGAGGCCGTCGCTAGTAGGTTGGAGGCCATCGCTAGTAGGTTGGAGGCCATCGTCAGTAGGTTGGAGGCCGTCGCTAGTAGGTTGGAGGCCATCGCTAGTAAGGTTGGAGGCCGTCGTTTAGTAGGTTGGAGGCCGTCCCTACTGTAGTAGGTTGGAGGCCATCAGTAGGTTGGAGGCCATCGCTAGTAGGTTGGAGGCCGTCGCTAGTAGGTTGGAGGCCATCGCTTGTAGGATTCTAGGTCAAAACCATGCCCACGGGCCACCTCCTGAGCACACTGAGGGATGGCCCCATAGCAATCCGAAGCGGTGCAACAAGGAGGTTTAAGGCGCGATGGACGTCGGTTTGACCCGGACAAATATACAAATCAAGTTGGCGGATCAACATGTGAACTTGCCGCTGGCCAACTCCAGTTTGTTGGGAATTGGTGCCAAAATCCATGTGTGGAACATGCTTGGACCAACTCTCTTGTTGGGGTCGAACCATCGGTCGGTCCCTCAACCCACCGTTGCGGCCTTCAGGGCATCGATCCCTGGAGCATCCCCCCGTTCGCCACTGCGAGTCAAAACCTGGAGCCTGCAGGAAAACATTTGGTGGGTTGACCTCCTGAAGAATCTGACGAATCTGTTCATTTGCAGGGGTCAACCAGGGTGGAAATGGGGTTGCCATTGACCCACTGCGTTCTTCGAGTTCCGCTCACACGGTGTGTCTGGATCGGTGTGTCCGCTTTGCGGATGAGACCAGGTGGAAGGGTAGACATGGATAGAGCTTGGCCATAGAGCTTTTGGGCACCACTTTCACAAGCTCTCTGAGTCTCTTTTTTGGGCGGTGTTGGTCATGCCAGGCCATGTCGAGGTCCGGTAGCATCTCAAGGGTAGCAATGTGAGCCACTTTGAGTTGTTTTCTCCAGGCGGTTTCGGTGTGGCTCACGGAGTGGTCTGTAAACCCCAAGGAGTTCGCAACCGAGGGCCTCCATGTATGTTGCCAGCCAGCACACCCTTCACGTCGCGAAAGTTTTTCGTAAGATAAGCAAAAGGTTTGAACAGACACATTTACCACATATATGTATATATATATACACACATGTATATGAAACCATTACAACCCAAACAGGTCCAAAGACCAAGTACAAAAAGGTCTTTGACTCGTAGGGTGACACATATCTCACGTTAATTAACGACCGATATTTGCTTTGTTTGTGCACCCATGTTTTGCTTGCAAGATCACACCAGCCATGAAACCAGCAGAAGCGACGAGTTCGTAAGACAAGCAAGTTGCAGAGGGGGCAATGGATGAAACACACGGGGGAATGAAGGGGGCTCGAGGGGGCAATGGATGAAACACAAGGGGGGAATGAAGGGGGCCCAAGGGGGCAACGGATGAAACACAAGGGGGGAATGAAGGGGAGACACCCAACCAACAGTCGCCGACGCCAACACAGCCCCCCACAGCGGCGCAACGAACAGCGACAGCGGAGCCGAAGCCCGGCGCCACCAGGATTACGTTTTCATATGCGGTGATGGGACATTTGATGTAATTATGGGGAAACCACACTGTATACAATTTGTTTCAAAGGAAGGTTTGCCATCTTTTTTGGGATGGTCAAATTTTGGACAAGTTCAATCCCTATTGTTTTAGAAACACAACTATCAAACTCGGCAATAAATTAAAGCCCCTTTGTCCAAAATGCACATCCTGACCAAGAAGCGGAATACATTGACACTACGTAGCGACCTAGATTGCCGCTGACGGAGATCTAGCGTGGTCGGCTTTAGGCAATTGATGGAATTCAGAGAATGAATAGGAACATTTCAATGAAGTTGGGAGCAACACTTCTAAGTGCCTGGCAAACCAAGTAGCCCTGCACGCTTGCACGCCCCAACCTCTCCTAGCTTCTCAACCTCACCCATTCCTTTGAACAAAGTCCAATGCGGGAAGCAAGTGGTCCCAACTGGGTTGGTCGTTTTCGGGTTGGCTTCTGTACAGCTGGGCAGATGCGACCTCATCTCCAGCTGGCTTGAATCGACCTGACGACCTGACGACGGACTCCCGTCAATGGATTGACTGCTCATGTTGCGACAGGCAGCACTGACATGCGACAAAGCAAGCGACAGCAAGTGCATGCCTCTGAACCATTCTAAACCCACTATATCGATCCGGATGTTACACAAATTCAGGCTTTGGGTCTAATATGGCGTATGCACCGCCTGACACTACACATCATTTTTCAAGAAAGCCTTCTTGTGTGACTCTGTGACATTTTTTATTCAGCAATGTCGATGCTTTCCCGCAGCAGTCGAACGACGACAACAGCTGCATAATCACTGCACAACCGCGTGCCAGCAGATCGCTGGTGTGTGACCTTTGCCGACTTGAGTTTCTTTGGAAAGGAACTGCAACATGCAATCCGATGTGGCGAACTTGAGGCTCTCTCAGATGAGGAGGCTTGTTGGGAAGAGTACGGGCCAAACATTTACACTGTGAATGAGCAATACATCAAGCCTGTGACGCTCCGTGCCGGCAAGATGAGTTGGGCTTTGATGCGACATCGAGACGGTTTGGACTGTGATTTGTTCATTAGCCATGCGTGGCAAGAGGGTGTTTTTGAATTCTTAGCCAAAGTGCGACACTCTTGGCCGAGAGGTTTGCGACATGCTTGGTGCTGTATGCTTGCCAATCCTCAAAACTTGAATATTGAAGTTTTTTTGGCCTCGCCAGCCAATTCGCCATTTGCAGTTGCCTTGCGGGCCTCTGAAATCGTGTTGGTGGTGTCTAACCGTCACGCGAGCGTCTACTCCAGGCTTTGGTGTGCCTATGAGGCTTACCTGGCCCAAGAAGAAGGTAAGGTCATTGTGATTGCCACAGCCTCACATGTTCATCACCATTTGCACTTGTCGTTGCGAATGGTTGGGGCAGCCATCTTTGGTGCTTGTGTAGGCAGGACGCTCTTTTTCTTCAAGTTCCGTGGCCCCATAGGAGCTCTAGAGTTGGTCGGAATTTCTTCTCTTCTGAGTTTCTGGATCAGCCACAATGGGCTACGGATGGTCCTGAATTGTTTCGGCCAGGCGGTCGTATGGTTTCAATTGACCAATTTTTACGACTACATCCATCCCAAGGGTTCCAAACAGGGTGGACTTGCAATTTCGGGAGAAGTACTTGCCGCATCGCGCATGTGCTACTGGCTGATGGCTTCAATTGTTTTCTATACATTGGATGTCGACCGCGTTGAAGGGAGATGCACGAAGTCAGAAGCTAAAATGCTCCGCCAGGGCTACACTGGCATTGAAGACGCAGAATGTTCACAAGAAGCTGATGAAAGAGCCATTCGCAGTGAGATTGGCGATCAGGTTGATGCTGTAAACCATGCCATTGAGGTATTGATGGCCGCTGGTATGTCAACGGCAAAGCTCCGGAAGCTCGATCGGGCAGGGGTGAACATCAAAGGGTTTGCGTTTTCAGAGATCACCGGAGCGGTGATTTTGATTGGCCCTTGGGGCATACTGGCGAGTGTGGAAGCTGCAATGACCTACATGCTGAAGCATGGGGGATACTGGTGGTTCCTTGCAGTTCTCCCAAGTTCAGCTGTGCTTGGGAGGGTGATTTTGATTGTTTTGCTTTGCTTGAAACCAAGGGATGAACGATGCTTCGTTCTGAAAGTCATGAGCAAGTTCATGGCAGGGATGTTTGGATTCTTTGCGATTGGAGTGGCCCTTTCCCATGTTTTTCGCTTCACCACAGTTGCTTTTGTTTGGCTGGCTCTTGCAGATATTCTTATAGTGGGGAATGTTTTCGTGGTTCTCCTTGGTATTGAAGGGACATCAAAGTTTCCTCTTGGTCTGGACATATTACATTTTCTATTGACCAGGGGGAGGTATCAATGCCCTCCATGCCACCTGGCCGAGACGAGTGACGATGACGGTTCGTCTGAGTATGATACTATATTGTAGTGAGTCTTTAGAGAAAGCTTGGAGTGTAAAATTGAGCTGCAGCTGAGACCTGGAGAATTGAAAGGTACCTGAATGCTATTTTTTGTAGCCCGTGGCCTTGCCTCCTTACTTAATTAAGTAGGCACCTATTTATTTAAGGGCGGCTGGGGTGGGTTTTTAGGGAAACTAAACAGGGTGGCATTGTATTTAATAGTCTTTGGTCTATTTTCCTTCTCCCAGGAGGGGTCGGTTCACTGGGAGGTCTAGTCTAGTCAAGTCACCGTATTTTTGACTGTAGGTTCCACGGGAAGAAAGTCCAAACCGGCCCCGTTGTCCCGTGGTCGTCCCGTTGCGGAGGCCTCCTTGGCAGGGAGCCGCAACACCGAGTTCCTGAAGCTCGTGGAGCGAACAGAGGCGGCTTCCGGTGGCGAGCCGACTCAACCAGCTGAGCTTGAGTCGGTTGAGTGAACCAGGACCCAGTCCACCTGGGGTACCGAACTGGGAGAGTCAAACTAGGGTTCTTCAGCCTTTGTTGGTTTGTGTTGAGTCTGGTTTTCGGGGACGCCTCTTTTTGGATTTCGTCCGGCAGTTGCAAAAGCGCCCGGAACCGCGGAGGACGCATGAGGACGCTGTGGCTCATGCCCGACGTCTTAACATGTCATCTTAGCTCCACTGAGTTTAGGAGTGAACATCGGAACCTCTCCGAGGGGCTGAAGCAGAGACTTCCGATCCCTACGAAGAGAAGCTACTAGTGGCTCCTGGCCTTACTACGCACGGAGCAAGGATGCTACTAGGGGCTCCTGGCATCGCTACTAGGAGCAAGAAGCTACTAGGAGCAGTCAGGGCACCCACTTTACCAAAAGAAGTGCCACCCAAAAGAAACATCTTTGGAACCTCCGAGGGCTGAAGCACATGAGACTGCCATTGATGATCCGAAGAGAAGGCAGTTGTTCTTTTTTTTTTTTCGAGTCCGACGTGTGATCAGCGCAGGGTGCCTTTCAGTCTGGAGATGACACTGCCGTGGAGGACAGTGGCAACTGTTTGGTACGTCAACCGATTGAGCCCAAACATGCTTAAGCTACAGATTTGACATAGGATGAGGTAGAATCAGAGAGCGGTTCAAACCTGTTTAATCAAGATCTATTTTCTTTTCGGGGCATCCATGATGCAAACGAGTGCTTTTGGTCTTTCTTTTTTGGTATTACGGTACCACACCGAACACCGTTGTGGTCGCATCGCATCGCTTCAACCGGAGAACAACCCGGCACCGTCGAAGACGTATCCTGCGACGGAGCGGCGACGGACAGCACGGAGGAAGTGAGACGAATCCTGGCAGAAGTTCGAGTTCAGTACGATCAAGTGCACCTGGAGTCCGAGCGCCGGGAGGCGAGGAATGGCGAGGAAGCACGTGCGAGGTAAGCGAGGTGAACCCCGCCGGATTTTGGACGGGCCATTGGCGGTGGCTGTTTTGGGGGGGAGATGGACATTTTTTTGGGAGTATGACACCGAAGAAACAACACAACACCACCTGGAAACCCTTGTGTTGGCTGGGTATGGACAAAAGTGTGTCAGGAGTCAGGATTTACGAATTTTGTGTGAGTATAGTTGAAATCCACGGCGCTCTCAGAGGAGGTCCCAGTTCACCATATTGGTTGATTTACTGCAATAGAGGGGATACCTCCAAGTGAACAGCCACTAGGTATAGGATGTTATAGGTACCTGGCACCGACCCCTCTATTATTCCCTGGACATGGCTGGACTTCCAGGAGGTGTCGACGGGTGTCCTTCTTCAAAAGGCGAGCAGCTCGCCCTCTCTCGGACGGGCCTCGCGAGGCTGAGATTGCGAAGCTGCGCGAGCAGATTCGCGTGGCTGACCGGAGCCATGGTTACGGAGCAGATGAGTCCACCAAGAAGGAGGCAGAGATGGGGAGAGCAGGGAGTAGGGAGGGAACGTTGGGGGAAAAAGGTTATGACTATATGACAAATATTGACACAACAGTCTGCACAATGACACAGAATGATGACACCAAACGTGACCACAAGACACCCTGACCCCAAGGATGCCAATGCGTGAAAAAACACCTCGCCAGTTACCTGAACCCCCTTCTCCTACCAGTGTCTGGCATGCTCTAGACATTCAATTGGCCGTCAAAACCTGGAGCCCCTGTCATCCTGGTGGGTTGACATCCCGAACATGAACATAGAGGAATCTGTTAGGTGGTCAACCGGACGGTCCGGCTAGATATAGCTCCAAGTCTTAGGGTGCCCACCACAGTGGTGCCCATTTGGGTGCGACGTGGACTGGCCGACTGGCCGACCGGGGGCCCACCACAGTCCACTGCTGAGACAGTGGAGCATCGATCACGCAGCCTGGATATCCAATATATATATATATATATATATCCCTTTGATCTTGAGCTAGTCGAAGTTTACTCAGATCCCAGATCAGCCAAACCAAGCCCAAAGGAATTTGGAAGAGCCAACATGAAAGGTGAAGGGTTCCGGTCATAATGTTCCTTGGACACTAGTCTGTTTTGTGATGTTTTCTTCGTTTTGGGGTCAGCCGCAGCGCTTGCGCTTTGATTCTACATTGCTGCTGACTGCTGGCTTTGTTTTCCATGCGTGGGAAACACATACACCACTCAGCATTCGTTGATCTTCAGATAGCTTTGGATAGCACTGGGTGCGCTGCTTTGCCATCCTCGCTCGCAGCCATCCAGCTGCCCTGAGGACTCCTGCCACGCAATCAACAAGCAGTTCGAAGAGACCACCAGGGTTCGGGGGCTGAGCTTGGGGAACGACCTGGGAGGTCCTACAGTGAACCGACCTGAAAGGGTAACTACTGATCAACTCCTTTTCTGAGGCCTTGGTGGAAGCCAAGACATCAAAGAAGGTCTACACTCACATGTGTGAGAGGCCCGCGAGCCCACGGGACGGACTGGCTGCAACGGCAACGCTGGCTTATTGTGTGCCAGATCAGTCTTTGTAGTGCCTTTCTTATTCACTTCTTACCCTCCCGACAACCCCAAGATCTCCAAGTCTATTTGTTCAGCTAGATGAAGAAGAACGTGGCATGTAATGAATCATGTCCTGGAAACCCAGAGTGATCACAAGAAAAAGGGCACCATCAGCGATCGATCACGACTGCTGTTTGCTTCAAATTGGCAGGATTACAAAAGAACAGGCGCTCTTGAAGGAGAAGCTCCTTTTAATGGAGGCTCGGCCTCGCCCTCTGATCCCCCTCTTCGCCGCAGCCGTATCGCTGAACACCTCTTTGGGACGCCGCGTCCGTTGCCCGAACACCCGCGTCCGGCGGATGCGGTCTCGACTTCACGAGGCGCACCTGCAGAGAAAGTCGGCCGAATCACAAAGGAAGGCGATCGGAGAGATCGGGCGCGATTTTTGTTGGTGCGTTGGCAGTCTGGGCAAGAAAGATGAGGACAACAAAATAAGCGCGTGAAACAGGGGTGATGATGTCCAAACAATAGGAGCTGCACAGCTTAACATTTTGGGGGGTTCCGATGATGTATATATCACTCAGCTGGGTCTCAAACCCCAAACGCCTTTGAAACTGCTGAGCTCATGGGGGTCTTATTGGACCGCCAAGAAGTGCGCACACAGAGAGAGAGAGAGAAGGAGAGACCCCCTTGCTGTTCAGGTTGCTGTTCAGGAACGTCTCGTGCGCAAAGGAGCTCAATGTTCCCAGGCCAGATGTGTTTCTTTTTGTGTGAATTGGATGTGGATTCGGATGACCAGAGGCAAGCTTGTCCTTTGGCAGCTACTAGTAGCAAGGTGCATTGCTACAAACGGAGCAATAAGCTACTAGTAGATCTTTGCATTACTACTAGTAACAAGAAGCTACTAGTAGCTAGCTTGGAAAGGCCACCAAAGTGGTTGAAAGGGATCGCTACAAGGGTGCCATGTTCTCGTGGCTCTCCTGACCCAACTGCCCTAGCAGGCCCTGGTTCCAGGGCCTGGTGTAAAGACATGCCACAATCGATATGTCCGCTGATTGTGAGGTGTAAACCAGCCTAGTGTCATCCTGGCTTTACCATCCGTTACTATCAGGTCCTCACAAGATGTTCGCAGTTTGGGCTGGTGCCAAATGGGAGAAGCTTCCATTTCGCTCCCCGGATCAGTGAACACAGACCTGGCTGGCCCATGACACTTGTCTTCGTGAGCGACTTGACAGCCAGGACTTGGACATTTTAGAACAAGATGTGGAACACGAACGAGTGGTGCCCCCCCCCCTTTTTTCCGCGCGCGAGACACACGCCGAAGCTCGCACCATGCTGAATCCTAGCGCTCGCAGAGCGCGCTCAGAGAGGGAGAGAGAGAGAGAGAGAGAAAGAGAGAAAGAGAGAGAGAGAGAGACAGATAGAGATAGAGATAGAGAGAGAGAGAGGGTGGGCATTTTTTAGAGGGCTTTGAAGGGTGGATAGTGATGGATTGATGGATCTACTTGGAAGGGGTGGTAACTCTGGCAACAGAAGCTCAGGTACGCGAAGATGCCTTGGCAAAGATGGCATCCTGTCTACAGGCAGCGTTCTCTTCAGGAGAAGAGTCCATGATAATTGTGAACAAAGCTGCAAAGACACGAAAAGAGCATTGAACGGACGCCAAAAGGGGATGGTCCGTTTGCAGTCGCTGTGTGTGTGGTTTTGTACTGAAAAACATCACACATCCCAAGGTGCTTGTCTGACATCATACGTCGAGCTTTCGGTCTTCGCGAACAACGGCGTCCGAAATCGGTGACCACCTCGCCTCGGCTCGCCCCCCCCGACGAGGCCAAGATCGAAGCGGGCGAGCGCCGCAAGAAGTTTGAGGAGTGGCGTCACGAGGCGAGGGACGAGAGAGTTCCGGAGTTCCAGGAGTTCGCGGCCGGCCCCACGCGGAGTTCCGGTCGGGAAACCGATGACGTGGACCGGAACAGGGGGGAAGGTGATGGGGCGCGCCGTGGTCGAAAAAGGGACCGACTGGTCACGATGCCACCCACACCATGGAGTGGACTAGGGAGGGATTTGTTCACCGCTTTTCACGGTGCAGCCACTAGCCGCTATGTAAGAGCTAGGGTTATATTAAGTTGAATATAGTGGTGTGTTTTCTTTCGCACTTCTTAGATCTTCTTAGTGCTTCCACGTCACTCAGCCTTTTGGGGGTCCGGAAAGGTCAGCGGCAGCGGGAGGTTTGGTTCAATGATCTTCCCGTGCGCCAGTGTCTGCAATTTGGGAGTGCATTACGGGAGACGACCGTTTCCCCCTTTCCGGAATCGAAAAAGACCGGGTCTCCCTGCTGTCGAACACGTTCGCCCCTCCCGAATGGCCACACCGGGGGCCTCGGAACCAGGTGGCACTGGATGCGGCGAACGAAGCCTTCAACGCCTCCGCCGGCCGCCTGCGCAAGCTCTACGCGGCCCGGGCCGTCACGGGTGAGAGCGCGCGGGTCCCGCGGGGAACCGGGACGCCTGGTGAAGCAGGGGGGGGAAGGTTGGAAAGTGTTTTTTCTACACTATCTCCTTCACCTTCAAATGAATGGAGACACCTTCTTCCATTCGTCTCCTTTAGGTTGCCCCAAGATGTGGGAGTTGGATGAAGACCCCCATGCACTCATGATCCTTGGCCTGGGACTCCGTGACTGGCATTTGGGACATGGCCCCCAATTCTCGAGCCCAAGTCCGAACGGACATGACTCCTAGGCCGGGCCACCGCGTTCCCCTAGACTCAACATGAAATACCTAGACCCAGCCAGTCCAGTCTGCCGTGCCAGTCATGGCCAGTCATGGCCAGTCGTGTGGCCGAGGTTGAGAAGCTCGCCGGCAATTGCCTTCAAAAGGTGACCTTCGAGCAGGTCAGCTGGCAGCCGGCCACCTGCGCCAAATGTGTGAAATGGAGTGAAATGGGTCTTTTCGACACTGAAGCAAAGCTGGTCTCCTTCTAAGTCACACGGAAGTGGAACACCCCTTCAAGGCATTTTCCAAGGGACCCTTGTAATTAGCTGTTCTTCTTGTGATGTGATTGCCAGTTAGTCGTTGACATGTCTTTCTTTCACACTCCACGCCCCGAGTCGCACACACACACACACACCACACATCCCACACATCCCGCACATCCCACGACTACTGCCACAGTCCCACTCATTCAGCCAAGCCACGCGGTCACGCACTCGCTCGCTCGCTTGTCAGAGTGCCTCGGAGCCATGTGCCCCGTCAGGTGGAGAGATCTCAAAATACCGAGGACGGGTTTCAGAAGATCAGAGAGGCCCGGATGACCCGTGGGACAGCGAGACTAGCACAGCAACGATCTTGAAGCACGAAAAAGTGGGACAGCATGGGGGGGTGGCGAACATGTGGCGATCGTGCCTTTTTCGTGCAGAACCGAAGATAGGGGAGCAGGCAAAGTGGACGGAATTGGTGGTAAATGGATCTGCATCTTCCTAAAGTGTCCCACTAATCGTTAACCCCAGCTGCCTGTCTGGGGATTTCCTTTCGAAAACGGTTTCGATCTTAGGATATCTTTACGGATGCCCAACCAAAGAATGCTCTCAACCAAAAACAAAAAAGCGGTTGGTGCACCGAGCGCGGCAGTGTTCTTCGTCGACCGAGCTTTCTTGGTCTGGCAGTCTGCATGGACTCGTGAAGCCGTGGAAGCCAATGTAGATGTCAGTCACGTCGTTTCTTACAGGTGAAAATGGTGAAATGATTCCCACCTGGTTCTTCAAAGTGACATTTAGATAACCTGGTTTGAGGTCACTTATGCCTACTAAGGGTCACTTAGGAACCTTCGAAAGGTCACTTTGAAGAAGCTGGGCAGTGAAACGATTCCCATGCATGGAAGCGAAACCAAGACCTGAGAAGAGTTTCTCGTTACTATTCGAAGCTTCAAAGACGTTCTTCTCGGCACGGGTCGTGTGTGCTATGCTGTCGCCCCACCCCAAGGGGTCGCCCTATGGTAACAAAGGGGCATTGCTACTATAGTAACAAGAAGCTACTAGGGGCTCCTGGCCTTACTATATACAAGTAACAAGAAGCTACTTGTACTAGTACCAAGGCGTAAGCTGGGCAATGAAAGTCGGGTTCGACTTTGTCACCCGAAATTCGATTGGACTCCTCGATCAAACCAGCCGCCACACACCAGGTCACTGGTCTTGCAGACGTCATGGACATTGTGCACAAGTCTTCGGCTTAGATGAGAAACGAAGGTCCAGACCCCCAACTAGTGGGACAAGTACCCGCAACTAGTGGGACAAGTCACATCCAGCTTCCAAATCACGGCAGAACAAGCAAATCTTATACACATGTCATGTCGATTCTTGGTTTTGCTCAGCGGTTCAAGCTGTCCCTAGCATTCGGACATATTCCAACACGTTAGTACCCCTCAAACCCATGTATGTTGGCTCAACCACTCAACAAAGCTAATGATCAAAGGCGCATATATAGGGGCTTCTTTTTCTTGCTCAAACCTACCAAAGTCAGCTGACTTTGGGGTTGATGGACATGTTTCATGTTCTTTTTGAGCTCAGCTTTCTACCAGGCTCCCACCCTCCCCAACCTCACCACCCTCCCTCACCACCTCCCACCCTCACCGTCCGGTCCAAGGTTCCTGAACCGAGACGTCGAGCACGAGCAGCTCAAGAGCTCCGTGAAGGAAGCGGAGGCGTCGAACGCGGGTCGCCGCGCTGCGCGCCGGACCCGGTCAGGGGGCGCGCCGGACCTGGACCCGGACCGGACCCGGACGGGGACGGCGATCGACCTCGTTTGGAGCGGGGACGGCGATCGGATTTGGAGCGGGCTGTCTCAACAGTTAGGTGGTGCAACACACATCGATCCCTGCAAGTCCAAAGTGCTAAGTGAAACGAGGAGCCTTTGTTTGTCGGAACCCATGCGCTTTGATCCAAGCGAGTTCAACATCACCACGCGAATGGCACATAGATCCTGCAAGAATGCACCAAAAGTTCAAATTCATGCGAGCAACAAAACAATGTCAGGATTTCCTTACATATTACACACATCAAGGGGACTAAGGACCTGTTACGCTCCAGTTACACTCCTGTTATGGCTTTAGAAGATCATTTGCAGTTTTAGAAGTCTCGGGGAGGGGGCGGAAGTGGAACTGTTACGCTCAATGATTGGCCCACAATTCATTCCTTTTTGCTCTGAATGTCGAAACATGAGCCCAACAAACCACCAAGAACACCTCTGATTTTACTCGAAATTGCCTTTGATTCCCTTCCAAACTACCTGACAGATCATGAACATTGCTTTTAGCGGGACGGAAAACTAGATGTAATAAAGTATAAATAGTGTTCATATGTGTTCATTATCTCAAATTCTAAATGAACATGTTTAACCAGGTCATTGACTTGAGGGTATAGTTTTTATTTTCTTTTAAATGAGATGTCAATCGAAGGAACGGCTCCCTGCTGGTTGAATTAGTATGGTGTACGTCCGATGAGTGACTTTTTCGTTGAGGATTCTTCACGTCGTTCGCATTTTGTCTTCGAAGATGCAAAGGAGAGGATGCAAGTATATAGGTCCAAAAGGCAAGACAGGCAAAACCATGCCAGGTTGACCTTTCCAGAACTCACAAATTTGGTTGGCTTCTGTTGGGTCCTTTTCTTGGGCTCAAACCCATCGGTCCAAACCCAGCCGGCGCCGGCCTGGACGACCGTCACCCTTCTGTTCACGTCACTGACTTCGGAAATCAGCAACAGGGAGGCGTTTGGGCTCTTCTTTCGGGTCTTCTTGCGCATGAATGGAACTCTTCCGAGGAATCACATAGGTTGGAACTCTTCCCAGATCCACCGTCACTGTTCTCTCTCCAGATGCGCTTGGATACCTTGCGGGAGCAGTTTGAGCGCTTCAAGCGAGACACCGATGGTTTCGGGGACCCAGTGGGGAGCGAAAATGGGGGAAGCGAACAGCTTTGGCCCATTTGAGTTGTAGAAAGACTGGGTTAGACATGGCTAGACTCCTAGACATCATCGAGTGTGAGGAGACCTCCAAAAACATCCAAACACAAACTGCTGTTTTGACATTGACATAATTATCTATACCTTTAGATGTGACAAGTGCCCAGTCTTGATTTGACACCTAACAAGGAGTCATGTCGTTGCATTGCATCTCCAAGCAGGTCAACCTCCAGGTCCACCACCGGGTCACCACGGGTCTTCGTGTCGTACCGGCGCATTCGTCGAGGCATCACCTTCGACACCGACACCTCGGGCAAGTCGAGGGCGATCTACCTCGAGGTCGACGCGTCGGTTTCGCCCGCGCGCGGGTGCCATGCGGAGGGACGAGGGCGGACCGAAGGGCGAGACGCGCGCATCGACGTTCGTTCGTCGATGAAGCGTCACCGTGTGCGGTCGTTGCCGGTACGAGATCGAAGCATTGGACGAGGACGAAGACCGGTGGCTTTGGAGAGGTCGAAACGAACATCTCTGGAGCCCAAAACGTGACCCCCGTGTTGATCGGAAAGAACGCCATTTTGGGGTGGGTGGCCCAAAATAGAGGTCACTCAGGTTATAGGTACTGGTGGAGAATCCAGCACCTCCGGATCCTTCACGCCTTCTTCCTGTGCTGGTGGATGACGAGGCATCCAAGAAATGCACCCTGGACGTGGGTCAAAGCCGACACATTCAAAAAATCAAAAAAACACCTAGTGTGTAAGCTTTGATGCAAAGGCTGAGCATTTTGCATACCCATGTAAGCGTCTGAACCTGCATGAACCTGCTATGTAAACTTTCGCGCCCCCTGAACCCTAGGACCTTTGGAAGTGGATTTTGTCCAATCATATGATTCATATGTCTTCCATGACCTGGAGCCATTGAAGATGATCTTCATGGCCATTGATTTTGGAAGAAGGGCTTCCAAGCATCGAAGATGCCTTGCAGAATTTCAGCATGTCGAATCTAGCATGTTGCTATCTTTAGTTCGGTCGAAGTGAAGACGATCAACTGATTATCTTCTGCCGCGTTCTGTCCGTTTATCCTTCTGCGGTTACGCTTGAAGGATGTTGCCGTTTTTTGTTAACACCGCTCCAAGCACTGAAACATTGACATAAAGGAACAAGCAAAATATAGATTCGTAACCTATAAGCCAACGATACTACACATGTTTCCACTTCCATGATAGCCATGTCAGAATGTCATAATGTACTTGTCCACTTTTTTGTAAAAAGAACTCTGTGTGTTTGTCACCAGGTGGAGGAGCACGAGGCGAAGCTCAATCTTTGCCAGAAGGAGCCGCGCCGTGCCGGACCCCTCAACTTGGCCACTTCGACCTTTGGTGGCCTTTCATATCGATCTTTCGTTTTAGACAATAAGTTACGTAATTCCATGGACGTGCATGCTCTGAACGATTCACACAGGAGCACGAGCAGAGCCGTGACAAGCTCCAACAGAGCACTTTGCAGGCCAGCTGGAGCACTTAAGCCCTGTCTTGCTTTGGAGCATTTGCATCATTTGTCGATGGTCCCTTTGTCCCACTTGTCACTTGTCCCTGCCCGATGCAGGATAGACCTTTCACCACCTTCAAACTCTAAACGAGGTTTTGTTGAACCTTGTTTGAGAATGTGTTTCCGGTGATGGTATATGACAAGAGCCCAGTTCTGAGAAAACACACATCCAAACAAACTGCTAAAAAGAGATTCACATGTGAGCTTTGCGTCCCAAGCCTCCTCCAAGAGGTGGAGCATATGAAGCGATGGGCGAATCGCATGGGCCGCTCCCTCTCCATGTTCGAGGCAACCTCCGCGCCTTTCATGCCAGGGTCACTGGAGGGTCTCTGTGGATATTTGTGGATATGTTTGTGAGTCAAAACCTGCAAACCCTGAAAGGTTGACCATGTCTGGTAGTCTATTCTGTTCATGACCTCGGTGGGAAAATCCAGTCGGTCGACCTGGGTTTTGACCGCCTGTGTGCGGTATTTGGGTGCGGCTTCGCAGAACAAATCGAATCCTGTTCCTGTAATTAGAGTTGGTTTCCGCTTGAGACTTTCACATTTATGGGCGGTTCCATGACAAATCATGAGAGTCTCTCAGCTTAAGAAACGTCATCCTCCACAAACAGACGGTTTTCCACTTCCGGTGATGAATTCAAGGAGCGTCTGTGGCAGGACTGTGTTCGTGTGGAAAAGCCTTCGGACCTTCCTGTCCTGGCCTCAGTTGAACCGTTTTTCTCGCCACCGAACACACCAGGCTTGCCGAAGATGGTCTCCAAATTCCCGACCTTTTGGATGCTTATATAACAAAGCAACGCCGCGAGTCGTTCGTCGGACGGCCAACCTTTGCTTCGACTCCGAACCGAGAAGATGTAGGCGTCCGAGAAATCATCCATCAACTCACGCGGCAAAAACACGTGGTCGTGACGCCTGGACGTATCTCAGAGACGTTCCCTGATCTGATCGGTCTTCCTACGCTCTCAGGTGTTTTACCAACAAATGCAGAGAGCTGTGGACAAATTTATTGCCCACATTGTGCAGCAGATCTCGTCCGGTAAGGCACGAGCGTCGTGTGCGGTTGCGACAGGAGACTGAGAGCGGCTGCGAAGCCCGCGAAGACGGTACTCGTGCACAGCGAGCGGGGGAGGGGTGGTTCTCACAGATGGACCAACTTCTTCACCCATAACGTAGACTCTTGATGAATAACCCCTAAAAATTGGACACTCCTCTTCATATGGGGGATGTATTGATCAAGAGTCTACATGACATCCTGTCAGCCAGGTGCAGGGTCGGGTCTCGCTTGTTCGGTGTTGTTTTCCGGGTCCCGCTCGAAACGGACCGGACCGGACCTCAAAGCACCGGAGCCGTGGAAAACGAAGAAGATCGAGAGATCGAAGCACCTCCCCGAAGTGACCCGTTGGCGGATTTCAGGAACATCGAAGAACCATGTTACTGTACTAGTAAGGCCCTTAGTTAATCTTGTTACTAGTAGCGATGTCCTTGTTGCTACTAGCGATGCCCTTGCTGTCAGTAGTAGCGATGCCCTTGCTGTCAGTAGTAATGCCCTTGCTAAGCTACTAGTAATGCCCATGTTTGGGTCTTCGCCACGGTACTTTCGCCACGGTACTTGGACCCTTCGACCTTAAGCAGAGGACGAACCAGGAGAAGGAACCAGGACAGCTGGGCTTCATCACTCGGTGGCACATAGGAGTCTACCCTCAAATCCTTCCGGCTGGGCTTGGAGGTGCAGAGGAAGAACATGGCCCAAGTGGCCAGCAAGGAGTACCACGAGGCGCGTTTTTTGGCGAGATGGAAGAATGTCTCGCAAGTGGAGAACTCCCAGTTCCGAGCAACTCCCACTGAACATGTCCTCTCCAACAATTCAAAGGAATTCCATGGAATTCCAGTTAGTAGAGGAACCGTACGAGAACAACTCGATATCGAATATATATATATATATTTCCATATTTCCTCCATCTAGTGTTGTCCCATTTCAGATCTCGTACTCTCTCGTGAAAAGACAGCAAGCCCGTTGGATGGTTATCCTCATTTATCCTCTGTGGTCATCCATTCAGCCACTGACGTGATTCATTTCGGTATGAGCATTCACGATGGAACAGAGTGCCACGCAGGGCCGTCGGAGATCAGTTTTGCTTGCTCGGTTTCTAGTTGGTTTGTAGTTGTTAAAGCCTTGGCACTGATTTCTACGAGGTTCTATTGATCATGTTGATCTTTTTGTTTTAGCTTCTTTTCCAGGCTGAAGAACAAGGTCGTCAACGTCCGTGAGTCGGCCCCCCACGCGTCGTGGTTTTAAACGCCTCGCCGTGCGGCCGACCAGGCACGCAGGCTCTTGGCCGACAAGGACTTCCTCAAGGCGCCGTGGGTGGGTGGCTCGGGCATGGCGGGGACGTCCGGACGGAGAAAACGGTGACCAGGAATGATGGTGACCAGGACCTACCAGCACCTGACCCAGTGACCTCGGATTGGCAAGTGACCTGAAATCAAGGCCTGTTTGTGACCTCATTCGGATCTCAAAAGGTCACTGGGAAGGTCGGTAGTTGCCATGCGTAGATCTGTTGATGAATACCACCCCCCCGAAACCAAGGAGGTGTTGGCAATCCATGTTCTGCGGCTAAACGAGTCAGCAGTCTATAGTTGTGCATCTTCAGCTATTCGCATCGTTCGGACGAGTTGGACCTGACTCACCAAGGGCAACATATGGGTGTATTAAACTAGGGAGACCTCCCAAAGAACCCTGGGAGGAAGGAAGATAGACCAATACACACCAAAACCCATTGGTTTGCCTCCCTTTTGCTAAAATACACACCCATAAATTAATAAAGAGGAGTTAGAGGAGGATAGAGGAGGACCTCATATTCCCAAAGTCCTATCCTATCTTCTTTTTCTTCAGGGGAGGGTACTGTACCGCACCAAAACCAAGCTGCTGGAAGCTCGAGCATTCCACGACAGCAACTCCCACTAGCTTGTCCACTAGGATGGTTCGGTGATGTCTGAATGGATGGAAAAGTCCTGAAAAGCACATACGTGCGAACACAACACCCCTCAACTGTTGTCAGCACCGGTTTCGAAGGTTCTTTCACGTTTAATTTAATGTTTTAATGTTTCTTTTTTTTCCCGTTTTCCATTTAGTTTCCAGCCATGTCTTGCTCATTGACACTCTGCGCATGACGCGCCAAGCGTGCCAGGTGAATTGTCGCGTTCCAGCATCGTTAGATGCTGGTCGACCTCCATCGCGTCAGGCCAGGCCGTATGGGGTCGAAGGGGATGACCTACAGACTTGGTGAGCTGATGTTGCTGTCAGGGAGAGGGTGAAGCAGATCTGGTCGAGATCTGCCACGGAGCCCTGCTTGTGAGTTGTCATGGTCTGCTTCGATGTTGCCAGTGCTCAGTGCTGCACAAAACAGATTGCGATGAACACCATGAGGACGCCATGTTCGAGGGGTTGGAAAAAACAAACGACGCAACAAAGTTTTGGCTTTTGGGTGGTACGGTTGGTCGAAAGGACTGCTTTGCCAGTCAGTGACGGGAAGAGTCCATTTCCAACTCTAAGATAGGCAGCCGAGATGCTCCTGGTGCAGGGTGCAACTGGTGCTCCAGAAGAAGATGCCGCAGACGTTCATCAGCAAGAGCGTGAAAGGCCAGGGAAAGGAGTTTGGGGCCTCAAATGGTCCAAAATTCAAGTAGAAACCTCTCCTGAACCCCCAACGCCCAACGCTTTTGGGGTTCAAAACACAATAATGTCTTCTTTGTTGGTGTATATATTGGCAAGTGTGCATTGCAATGGACGTTAGCATGGATGCTCACATACTGTATTGCATAGGCAGATTCTTGCCATTCATACATCCTATTCCTGCCATTGTTGCCATTCATACGACATGTTGGGTCCAGGTGGCACTGATTGGCAGGTCCTTGGTTTTGCGAATAAAGTTCGAGTAATGAGGCGATGTGTTCAATCGCCTTTCGCGTGTGGCACAGTTCAAAAGGTCCCTCTCCAAAGTCAGGCCTGGAAACCCAAACAAGCACTGGTCGATTCAATATGGCAATTGAGATCCTTTATATGTAGGAAGTGGCTAGGTTGGGGAACATCCATTTGTTGGTTGGGGCTGGAAACCTCCAGAAAAAACTGAATGTGAGTCATTGACCACCTTCCAGGAGTCCTTGAACTTCATGTTTCAACATGTGTTTCAACCGTACCATCGCCGGCAACCTTCATTTCTCAGCCGTTTCCATCCGCTTTCTCCTTCGCATGGCCGCCAGGTGCAAGAAGGAATCGATGGATCGTGTGGCCGCGTCTGAAATGCAAAAGAAGAGGACGGGCATCGGTCGTGGTTAGCTACGTCTGGTGCAATGGGTCCCAAAAGGTGGCCCGGTGACCGGAGTGAGAAGGTGTTCCGTTCCGTTCTCCTAACAAGGGCAGAAAACAGGAAGACCAGAAGCGATTCGATTGATGTCCTGTCCTCCAGACCGGGACCGAGACTTGTCGGCGAAGTTGCCTAATGCTCAATGAACTTCTTGATTGAGAAGCCGAGCAATGATTGCTTCTTGCGAACATTCTTTTTGGTCCTGGATGCATTTCTCCCTTAAAGTGCAACAGCTGATCTTCGAGCGGTTTCACCCAATGTGAAGCAAGACGTTTTCATGTGCTGAAAGCAGCGTGTGAAGTTGTGAAGACACCAAAAAAGGCCATGCCGCGGCTGCATTGCCAGATGTTTGTCGCACCAGGTTTCAAAAAAACACAATCTTTTCAGGGTGCCAAGGCCCGGCTGGACCGATTGGAGGGTCCAGAGATGTGTAAAGTCATGGATCGATGTTCGATGATTGATATTCCTTTATTCATACCATATTCATACCGATAAGGAAGAAGTCATGATTACCATATTCATAGTCATACCATGGCTCTGAACATGAGATTCCTTATTCATACCATGGACCTGGACCTTCTTTCGGGGTGTCCTGGCTGGAGGTCCCTGTAGGTCGTGGGCCGGGGCGAAACCAGCCAGGTGACCCCGAGGTCGGAAGGTGCTGGGATTTTCCGATCCTTCGATCCTTCGCTCGAGGTACTCGTGGCTGTTCTTCTTGGTTTTCTGGCTGGAGAAGCATCCCTGAGAAGCATCCTGCCTTCAGAGGCAGCGTCTCGTCTCTTGTTGGAATTCTCCAGGACTCGTACTTCTCGAACTTGCGGTTTTCGAAGTACTTTCGCCGAATGACTATATCCACATCTATCGTGCTGGACAATTGGAAATACAACAAGTCCGAGACATAGATGTTGCTGTGGTCCCTGTTCTGGGATGTTTTGGGTTGCTCTCGAAGTCGCCATCTGCACATTCACTGTGAAAAGTACACCCGCAGGTTTTTGATCCAAGCACTGATGACCAGGTGCTCTTGGGGTATTCTTTTGTGTCATCATTTCAGTTGCTTCATTTTAGACTCCTGATGAGGAAAAACACACCCCAGGCCTGAATAGGTTTTAGCATCAATGTCGTGGGGGGGTTCTATTCATACAAGAGTTAGCATATGTCTATAATTGTTAAGTTATAAGCTTCTTGTTACTAGTAGCGATGGCCTCCAACCTAATGGCGATGGCCTCCACCCTGCGTAGTATCTAAATGAGTCAGTGAATATTGGTGAATTTCATCCCCCAGCGGGGCCTATAATCGGCTCTACCGCTGAAACAGCTTGGAAGCCGCGCCGCGAGGGTGCGCGCCTGGAAACCGTCGTGCGCGTTAGCACCGCGCCGCTGGGGCGGTGCTTTCATGAAAAAAGGCAACGTGATCATGGCGGCAGATGGTGGGGTGTTTGTGTGTGTCTGTTTCATAAGCTACTGGCTAGTTACGGCTAGTTCCAGCAGCTGTTTGAAGTGTAATTGAAGGAAGTATCTTTTTCAGTTAGCTGCCCCCTCGCGATGTTTGTGAGGTCTGTGTCAGAGGCAGAATCAGAGATTTACTGTAGTTTCACAGCCTCACAGCGACTCTAGGTTGAGACCATCCGGCCAGAGTTTTCCCTCATGTTCAACTTTGGCCCAATCGAATCCATGAATTTTGTGTGTTTCTGCTTTCCTTTTATTTGTTCTTGTGCAAGTTAAGGGAAGCTTCACAATCTGAAGCAATCGCACATGTCTAATTTCAACGGTCAGGACCTATGGGTGACCTTCAATCAGATCTTTCCTGAGCGATGTCGTACTCCTCAGCGTTCCAAACCTTCCCCTTTGGGCGTCCCAGAGCCGTGACAGCTCAAGCACCCAGTTCGTGCGCATTTTTAAATGTGAGTGTCTCCTGTGCGTTGAAGGAGCCCGTTCGGAACGTGGACACTAAGACGTCAAGACCAGAGCTTGGTTCGGTCGGTTCATGTTGAACAATTGAAGATCTTTTTTCTGTGTGACCCATGAACGGCACCACATATTTACATTCAAATGCCATGTGGTCTAAAAAAGCACCAATTCCACTCTCCAACTTCTTTTCTACATCTAACATCATCTCACTATCTCCATACAGACAGACGTTGTGACAGGTGGACCGAGTTGCGACGACCACGCCGACTCGGTCCGCACGGGTCCGCACGGTGGCTCCACCAGGACCCACGGAAGGGGTGGTGAATGGACACCCCGAATCACCTCTGTTTGGGCTTCAGGGCCCCCAAACAGGGGCCCTGGTATACCTTTCTCTTTTGGGGTCGAGAAGTTTGGTCACCTTCTCAGAGGGCCCTGTGGATCTGCGTGTCTCGTTCTCACTTGGTCGAGCAGAGTCGACACAGTGAGGACAGATGGAGGTGCCATCACGGCTTTCGCCAGAAACTGGCGGGACCTTCGGGCAGGTGGGCTGTCGTTGGCATCGCAATGAAAAACATGGCCTTTTCGGCACTAGGCACAGGGGTACCATCGACTACAGCGAACGCTGGGGAGCCACGCATAATATATTTAATGTACGCAAAACATCGCAAAACCACTAAACACCCTGATTTCGTTCTACTCACTTTCTCTTGGGACTCCAGCCTCTTCGAAAACTAGGTCTGTGAGTCACTTGTGAGGGTCCTGTCTTCATGAGCGCCACTTGAGTTGATCTCAACCCTAAAAAGACCGGGAGGAGACCAGCGGTTTTGGTTTGGCACCCCTACTGCTCTTTCGCTCACATGCCCCGTGGGACGTGTGTGAGGCTTACAAGCCCAAAGAAGCGGCCTTCTATGGCAGGCTCAAGGAGGCAACGGAAAATGCTGCAAAGGAGGAAAACAGGAAATAGGTTGGAGATGGTTGGAGGCCATCGCTACTAAGGTTACTAAGGTGGAGGCCATCGCTAGTAGGCTGGAGGCCATCGCTACTAGGGTGGATGCCATCGCTACTAGGGTGGAGGCCATCGCTACTAGGGTGGAGGCCATCGCTATTAGGTTGGAGGCCATCGCTATTAGGTTGGAGGCCATCGCTATTAGGTTGGAGGCCATCGCTACTAGGGTGGAGGCGGAGGCCATCGCTATTTCAAGTCGAGGATGCGCAGCAAGAAGAGCATGGTGTTGGGTTCACGCGTGGTTTGACGGTGGCGACCCTTTCTTTGGGTCCAAGACGGTCTAAGATGCACAGAGGTGTAGATCCCCTTTTTAACAGAAATACATCGTTTGTGGACGCTGGTCTCAGAGGTGTTGAGACTTGAGACCAGTTTTCTTTCAATGACGTGAAGGCGTGAAGGCATCATAAACGCTCATATGACTGCAAGACGATTTCTGCTTCTGAACCTCAAGAAAGACACATCATCCAACTCCGAAGACGGCCCGGACTCGGCCCGGATTCCCCACTTCCCGTCGCCATGTCGAAGCAGGCGACCTTGGACCTGGGAGCCGCCCATATTGACTCCCTGCGTGGGGAGCTGCCCAGAGAGCTCCGGGGACGTCGGTGAAGGGGGAAACAGGTGATCGCCCCGATGAAATCGAAGAAATCAAGAGTTCAAGAGACAGCAGCTGAGATGGGGCAGAGTGAAGGTGAACGTTGAACGGCGATTTGTTTGTGATAGGTGTACTTCTTCGGGAAAACCTGAGTTTGGAGTTTAATGCCACATGATGTTTGACTGGGCAGGAAAGGAGGCCATCTAAGACAGTTGATCACTTCTCCTCAGCTTGGCCCACAGCCCCTCCGCTCCATTTTGGACCTCCTGAAGAGTTGCTGTTCGTTGAGCAGGGAATTGGGTGGTTTTGAAGGATTAATACCATGGAGAATGAATCTCTGGGAGCAAATGGTGAAGGATGAGCGCCACTGAAATCCTTTGTGATGGTCTATCAAATTATGTTCCTGATCCTAAAAAAAGGCTGTCGTACCCAAGTCATGAAGGCTGTCGTACCCAAGTCATGTACACCCCTTCCCAAGTAGCTTTTTTTTGTTTTGGCCCTGCAACTGTGAAGGGTTGCCGTGTCCTTCGTCCTTCTGTTGGCCAAAACGGCCGTGCACGTACCTCACGCACCTCACGCACCTCCGGGAAGTGCTCGCGGTGCTCCGGCAGGCGCGATTTTTACCTCGCGCATGGTCCAAACTCGAGCACGTCTTCATGGACTGACTCTCTCAAACTCGCCGGAGATCTGAGAGATGAGTGTTTGACTTCAGGTGTGAACGCATGAATTGGCACGTCGTGGTGTTTTTTTGTTTCCGTTTGCATATGTCGCTAGGATGCAGAATGTAGATAGTCAGCTGGTCACTAGCTTCATCGAACATGATGCTCGGTAAAGTTTGATGTTCGGCACGTTGTAGAAGGGCGGAGGGACACGCACCCTGTGAGGCAAGTGAGACAGGTTTTGTTCAAAAAGAGTTGGTCGGAGAGATTCTATACTGCCAGGAAGGAGGCCTTACTGTGGAGCCCGGATCTTCAAAGCACGAAAAACACCTAACATTGGTGCAGAATTTCAACCCCGGGGACTTGGAACTACCTCGAGGCTTTTCACAGCCATCTACGAATCTCCTATCCCCTGTGGTACCACTTCTTTGGTCCCAGTTCAGATGTCTTGATGGACTCCCTGGTTCTTATCAGGAAGTGGATGGCGGCCACTGGGGTCTCCCCTTGCCCAAACAGCTTTTGGCTCACTCCACGGTCACCATGAGTGTACCACCGGAGCGGTCGTTCCGGAGCGCTCGTGGTGGTCGAGACCAATGGGTCGACTGGGCAGGATGGTTTTGGGGATGTTTGGTGTAATCCTCGTTTGTTAACCTTATGAAAGGGGGGCAGGATGGCAGGATGTTATGAGGATTGTTTTTATTCATAAACCCATTTGCAGAATTTACATGAGGCTGTTTTGGGCTGCTACCCAATTCGCCCGATGTGGCAAGCAAAGGGGGTGTAGCAGCCAAGCAATCCAAGGCAGAACCTCGAAATGAAGCGTCATCATTCTGGACTTCGGGCATCTTGAAGTCAAGAGCAGTCGGGTGTTTCGGGGCAGTGGCAAGAGTGGCAACAGGGAACAAAAAGAACGACAGGCCTAAACATATCATGGAACACCGCACGAATCCACAGGAACACCGCACGAATCAAGCCGGCTAAGCCTACAGGTACGGAGACTGCTTGCTTCCCTCGAAGACGAGTAGAACACCGCACCTCTCAGCTACTGTTTCCTTTGTTTTGTTCGGTGTAGAGTGTAGACTAGACCGTCGTTATGTGCAGGCATAGACTCCCTGGAACTCACATGGGTTTAGGCGGAGCATGGCAGAATGGCCCCGTGTTTGGAAGACCATGAAGTCCACGAACCAAACAGGTGGTGAACTCCACGTAATCATGTTAGTTCCAGGGAGAGTACATAAGATTAAGAAGCAGCCTTTTCTGATTCTGGGACATGACATGTGCGTCGATTTCGTGTTTGTGCGTCTCAGAAAGAGGACCGTCCTTGGCCAGGCTGACCGATTGTCATTGTTGATCATATGCTTCAAAGGTTGCAACGCCAGTCCCGTGATGAGTGGATTCCACGATGATTTCCAACTTTCATGGCGGTGGAAAGGATTCCTCACTGTCCAACTACCAATGGCACATCATTACTGTATGGCTTCACACTCCTGTCAACTTGCAGTTTCCATGGTCCACCACACTCTCCAAAAAGCTCAAAATTCAGAACCCTGAGATGTCCAGGCGACAGCGACTCTTTTCAACAAAGTTCAATGTGTCCACTCCCATTAGGACCTACCCAGGAAAAGTGGAGAACATGCAAACGCTTTTTGGGGATTGGGCTTCCAACTCGACACAAAGATTTGGACACCGGATCCACCTATGTTCCAGGGATATTCGACATTATCCGACTGTGGACTTCTCTTTCAACCAACCAGTCGACGTCTTTCTGCCACTAGGAACACGTAGCTTGGTGGAGGCCATCCCAATTAGGTTGGAGGCTAAAGGCCACTACTAGTAGTAACAAGAAGCTAGTAGGAACAAGTGCCACGCTAGTAGTAACA